TCCAACTCAACTTTGGTGAGAACCGGGAAAAGGGGTCAAAATGTAAAAATTGTACCCCAAAATAGTGCCTCATGACCCCGCAGGAGTCCCCCGCGGACTCCCCTGACATTCATCCATGGTCGAAATCATCCAACTCAACTTTGGTGATAACCGGGCAAAGGGGTCAAAATGTAAAAATTATACCCCAAAATAGTGCCTCAAAATCGGGTAGAGTCACCTGCAAAGTGCCCTCGCATTCCTCCATGGCTCAAAATGTCGAACTTAAACTATTTGGAGAACCAGAGAAATGTAAAAAATACGCCCCAAAATAGTGCCTCAAAATCGGGTAGAGTCACCTGCAAAGTGCCCTCGCATTCCTCCATGGCTCAAAATGTCGAACTTAAACTATTTGGAGAACCAGAGAAATGTAAAAAATACGCCCCAAAATAGTGCCTCAAAATCGGGTAGAGTCACCTGCAAAGTGCCCTCGCATTCCTCCATGGCTCAAAATGTCGAACTTAAACTATTTGGAGAACCAGAGAAATGTAAAAAATACGCCCCAAAATAGTGTCTCATAATCGGGTAGAGTCACCTGCAAAGTGCCCTCGCATTCCTCCATGTCAAACTTTAAGTATTGAGAGAACCAGGCTGGGGGGTCCTTGCGCCACAAAATGAGGCCCACTCAAAGTGCTTGGTGAGCGGATACATTCTTCCATGATTTGCAACAGCCGTTATTTTTCTGAGTGCACCCAAAAACTGGGTTTCCGATTTCGTGCAGACGGTAGTTTGAAAAGTATGGATGAATCTTTTTGACAGAGAAGTGGAAATGAAGCCCAGGGACTTTTTCCCCTTCTCCGTTGTACCAACCATCGGAGAAGGGGAAAAATCGGCCCGAAGCGCCAATAGTCTGGCCCCTTCTCCCGTTGGCACTCTGTCATTTTTTTGACAATTTTTCAAAACTTCATTTTTGATTATTTTAAGTTATAATTAAGCGTTTTCTTCAATTTTTTTTTGCTTTCCACGGGTGGGGGCGCCTGGCAGGCCGCCTATGAGCACCCAAATTCGGCCTGGATCATCCAGGATTTGTGGGCTAAGCTCCATAAACTGACTAAATCACCCAGAGAGGTCACCTTTCTAGCCCAAATATATATAATACAAATACATTTAAATAGTAAAAGGTGCACTTGTGCTCTGCATTACCCGGAATTTTATTTTCATAGCCCCATGATAGTGATTAAAAATCATTTTCATGGGAAAAAGTGTTAAAACGCCTGATTAAATTATATGCAGGACCCCAGTGAGCTCCAGACTATGTGCATTGTGTTGGGGAACCATATAAATGATAGAATAAATGCATTTAAATGCAAAAATAATGATTTTAAATCATTTTAGGGGGACAATTGTGGAGAGGAGCCTGAAAATGACTCTGCAGCAGGCTGCCTATGAGCACCCAAATTCGGCCTTCTTCACGGAACCACGACCCCTTCTGTGGAGGGTATTCTCGTGCCCCTGGTGAGCACACGTTGACCCAGGAAAGAGTCTTCAAAACACAGGTAAAAGTGTGTTAAACAGTGGGGTAACATGTTTGAAATGACAGCACACTGCTGCTTGTTGGCAGCCTGACTCACTTCACTTGTCTCACACACACCCAGGGGGGGAGAAAGAGGACACATTGGAGCACAGAATGACCCAGGAAAGAGTCTTCAAAACACAGGTAAAAGTGTGTTAAACAGTGGGGTAACATGTTTGAAATGACAGCACACTGCTGCTGGTTGGCAGGCTGACTCACTTGACTTGTCTCACACACACCCAGGGGGGGGAGAAAGAGGACACATTGACCCAGGAAAGAGTCTTCAAAACACAGGTAAAAGTGTGTTAAACAGTGGGGTAACATGTTTGAAATGACAGCACACTGCTGCTGGTTGGCAGGCTGACTCACTTGACTTGTCTCACACACACCCAGGGGGGGGAGAAAGAGGACACATTGACCCAGGAAAGAGTCTTCAAAACACAGGTAAAACTGTGTTAAACAGTGGGGTAACATGTTTGAAATGACAGCACACTGCTGCTGGTTGGCAGGCTGACTCACTTGACTTGTCTCACACACACCCAGGGGGGGGAGAAAGAGGACACATTGACCCAGGAAAGAGTCTTCAAAACACAGGTAAAACTGTGTTAAACAGTGGGGTAACATGTTTGAAATGACAGCACACTGCTGCTTGTTGGCAGGCTGACTCACTTCACTTGTCTCACACACACCCAGGGGGGGAGAAAGAGGACACATTGACCCAGGAAAGAGTCTTCAAAACACAGGTAAAAGTGTGTTAAACAGTGGGGTAACATGTTTGAAATGACAGCACACTGCTGCTTGTTGGCAGGTAAACATTGTTTAATTGTTTAAGTGTTTTTAAATGTATGGAACAGTGTTTTGTCTCTTTCAAAACTCTCCCGTCATTGGCCGGATACATGGGGATGATTTTATATTCACTATGACCGTTACTATTCCAGTGAGACGAAGTACGTCCGGTGACGGGAGTGATCCCATGTTAATTTTGTCCAAAAACCAGAGCATTCCCTTATCCTTAGGGGACCCCACAATTGCTTTGGCTTTGTTCTTGACATAATCTCTATTTTATCCATGGTTTTGTCAGTTACAGAATGTAAATGATGAGTCCAAAAATAACGTATGCAAAAATCGGAACAGAACGTGGTTCTTTTTCAGGTGTAAAACAAAAAGTTTTCACTTTAGTGTGCAATCTTGTAGAAATCTAAAGACAATTCGTCTTTCCTGTAGTTTCTATCTTAAATCGTATTTATATTTATTGTTTTGTTCCAGCTCTGCCAAATCAGTTCTAGCTTCCAATACTTCTCTGGAAGTTGCCAGTGAAGGGTGACAATGTGTGAGGTGGTGTCAATTTGCTCCTTTTTCTTTACCTTTAAACCGGAGCGCGTGTGAAGTTCATTACAACTTGTCACGGTTCCGACCACCGGGCATCAGCCCACTCTGTTTTGGGAACTTTCACCCTCACCCAATCACCTGGCCGAACAGGAGTCTCTTCTGATGTCTCGTCTGGTATCTGTGCAGTTTTTCCTAGCCTGTGTAGACAAAAACTTGGATAATATTACTCAGAGCTCTGACATATTCATCCACTTCTATTTGTCTAATATCTAAAACTGGACCACTCCCTCCTTGGAGGAGGCCCAAGCTTTGGTATACCTTTTGTTGTTATGCGACTTATTGTTGACAACATGTTATTATTTATTAACTACAACGTTACCGAAATCCATTATCTGACTAATCATGACCTTCCCTCCTTTGATCATAAAATGCTCAATTAATATCGCAATGATTACTCTATTATGAATAGGACATGGAAAACCCATAACGTCGTAGCAAACACATATAAATTCTCTGTGTACCCACAAGGCGTACAAAGATGTTGTGTGATGTATCGTCTTCCAATGGTATAAATGCACATTGACTAAAAATCTGCCATTAGCACAAAAATATAGTTTACTTCTTGTTAGTTAAATAATGGCTTTTGTCATGGTACTATGTATCAGTGTTGCTGCGGAAAAAAACACACTGGTGTTGCTAATACGTCTTAATAGTTCTAGGATTAGAGATTGGCTGACACTGTTAAACAAACAAATCATGACAAAATAATATGTCTTTAAACTAGAGGGAAATACGAACTATACTCACAGAGGGTTACACGCAGAAGAACATGAAGGGCTGATGTCCCTCACTTAAAAATAGATATTGCCTTATGCACTACTTTATAAATCAGCAAATTCACTTGAACATAAATAAATGAAGACTGATTCTTGAAACTGTTGTAAAAAACCCTACAACTTCTTCATCCAAGCTCAGTGTTATGTTATTTAGTTGGCAGCTCATGCCTTAAATCAGAAACTTCAGACCTATTATAAAAATGTGTTTATGAGAGAATGTAATCTGACTCCATATATCCTATGTACTGGCTGGTAAATGTTGTGCCAGTTTCTGTCACTCTGTCACTGTTCTCCCGCTAACAGTCACTCTCTAGTTCTGCTGGGTTCTTGTTGACTTCTTCACTGGTTTGAGACAAGCGATCTTATTGAAACACCTCCCTTTGTAGCCAGACTTCACCACAGCAGAATTGAGTTTCTGTTTTCAGGTCTCAGCAGCTCCACATCAGGTGTATCTTCGCCCCTTGAACTGCAGTCGATTTAAACAGGAGGACTTGGTAAGGACTCTCCGTCTTGGGCGAGGACTAGGCTTTCATCTTCATCTTTTGGGCGTAAACCCATTGTCTTGACCTCACTAGCTGTGTGAACACAATAGTTTTCTGTGTGGGGGAACAACATCACTCGTAATCTCTTTCCTTCTCATAATTAGAAAAATAGTCTGCTAAATGTTCTACTATTTTTTAATCTTCTTCTACTAATCTGTGGATGATTTATATTTAAATGCAATATGCTACTCACTATTGTTAAATAACATTCAACACATTCATGTTTGGAAATACTATTCCTCTTTGACATCCCTGAGACCCCCTGCCTCTGTTGTAGTCATGGAAACCTCCCCTGGGGTAACTGTGTGGAGGGCCGTTGTTTGGTGCAATGTTCTGCGGACACTCTCTGGACCAATGTGTCAGCTGACCACATTTGAAGCATCCTTCACTTTGGGAACCTCTTGCTGTTGATTGAAAACGTCCTCCTCCTCTGCCCCTTCGTTGATTCTGTATGTGAATATCTATCTCAGCCGCCATCTGCCTTGCCGCTTTCTTGTTATTAGCTTTGATATCTTCCTCAGCTACCTGTATTCTCAAAAGTCTTAGTTGTAGTGCTTTCATTTCTTCATCATGTTCTCTCTTTATTGTCTGGTATTTCATATCGTGGTGAATGAGATGTTGTCTCCATTCTTCAATGGGTTTAATGTCTAATCCCACCTTCTCTTCCAGGCATGCCTGCACAGATCTGGGAAGGGCTTTAATGACCGCATTCTTCCACAACATCACGACAGCCGGAGAAGCGTCATGTCGTTCTCCAGTGCAGTCCTCCCACACTCCTTCACATCTCTTCAAGAAGGCATCCATGTCTTCCTCCGTTCCTTTTTTCAGGCTGGTGAGGGCATGTAAACTGCATGCTGTCGGGTAGATGTGACGAATAGCAGCCCAATAGCTCGACCTGATTTTGTTGAATGAAATGTAATCTGGAGAGTTGGCGCATTGGGCCTCGAAATCTACTGCTCTTGCCTTTAGTCTTCCTTCTATCCGTCTTAGCAGTGCCCTCATGTCTCCCAAGCACAGGTCGTCTTGGACAGTGTACTTCTCCAGATCATTCACCCACTTCTGACCTCCTTTGGTGAGTGGCGGTAGCTTGGACACTAATGCTTCCATGTCCCTGTGAGTCCATGGTTGGTATTGAAATCCTCCTTCTCCAGCTGCTATCACCGGTATCATGTGGATTGTGCAGTTCTTGAGTCTTCCAGCTATAGCTACTGTTGTAGCGTCTTGAGATCCGTCTTCCTCTCTTCTTTTGAGTTCCTCCTTCAGCTGGTTAACTTCACCAGATAGCATCCTTACTTCATACTCCAAGTCTTTGACACGTGTAGCTGTGGGGAGTCCATCCAACTCCAATACTTCTCCTATAGGGGCTTGGTGAAAAGGGTTGTTCTCTGATATGTTGGAAAGAGACACTTCGGTTAGACTTGGATTCTGCTCTTGAGTTTGGATAACTGGAGCCTCTTCTGTTATTCCAGCTGTGTCTTCCTTCACTTGCAGATCTGCCGCTTCTAACACATGTATGCTGTTTGTCAATCCCTGGCTGGCATATTTCAGATGGAGTAGCAGACTTGTAACTGTCGTTTTTCTTTTTTCAGCTTTGTTCATAGCGCTTTTTTCAGGTCCATACCAAAAGGGGTGTCTGGTGTTGATCCATGCTTCTTGCTGGTGTAAGTATCTCTCATTCTCATAAGCACTTATAGCTTTTCTATGGGCTTTCGTTGGTCCAGGTTGATCATCTGCTGGAATCAATCGTCGTGTTTGCCATTGTTTCAACAATTCCTGTATTTGATTCCCTACTTTCTGTCTATCATTCGGATGTGTTGTAGCATCTGATCTGACGTGTACTCTCTCCTTAATATCTGCAGTTGAGCCTGGCACTGCGGGTGCTCTTAACTTGGTGTCTTTTGGTGACATATTTCTTAAGTAGTTGGATATAGTTATTAAATGTATCAAAGATGAATCACTAATCTACTGAATAGTACCTTCGTTCCTGATAAAAAATATCCTATGTCATCCGAACTTAACTTCAATATCTGGGATTCTTTTTTTTTTTTTTTTTAAAAGATTAATAAAGTAAATAAAAAATATGCAAATTTTGAAAATCAGATTTTTTTTTTTTTTTAAATAAAAAATAAAAATTGTACAGTGGCTTGGCTTTGAAATATGCAAATAGAAATCTTGTAAAAATCTAACTTTACTGTGTATAGTGTATTCTAAAGTGCATGAAATTATGCTAATATCACAAACTGTGTTTACTTCAATTATGTGGTGTTTAGATATTCTACAGTCTAGGTTGAAAGACTATTATGTAAGGTTTCTTATCTTAATATCAGGAACCACCTGTGATTCTATCTATGTGTGATGAAGTGCGTGTTCATCTATAACACTTGAAAGTAAACTTTAGCATATTATTATAATCAATTGGTGTTGTATTTATACGTTTTTTTTTTTTTTACCCCTATTTTGTGCAACAATTCTGTACAACCAGCAGAGTGCGCTGTTGTAATTTTTCAGCTTTTTCCACCCGTGGAAGCCCTTCTAAAAACGGACTTCTTTTTAACAAGAAGCTTATTTTCTTAATAACTACCTTTGATATGGGAAGGAAATTCACTTTATGATTAAACAGTAAAGGATAAACCAGCGAATACACATTTGCAAGCACAATTTTTAAGGATTAAACAATAAAACATAAACCAGCCATCACACATTTGCACAGTAAAGCATAAACAGGTAAAACTCCTTTGCAAGGACTAATATTTCAAAAATCAGATTTGAGCTTTAGAAAATACAATAATCCTTTTCTTCAAAGACCAAACTCCAACGGTATAGATAACCTGATTCAGCAAAATGGAATATCTAATTCCAACTTTGACTCAAGAAGAATGATTTGTTCTACACACTATGGAGGTCATGAATATTGAATTAGCCTCATGTGAGTGAAACTGAATGGATTTCAAAAAACAACTGGTCCTCTGAATTTGCATTTCACAGAATGGCGACTGCCATGTTTTTGTTTGTCAACATGAGGTCAAAACAAGATGGCAACTGATTTCAAATGCTGACCTGCAGAACAAAGAGTTTTTTGCAAGAAGAATGGCTGTCTCTGATGCGTTGAAATCCTGAGGTGTTGATCTCAACAAAGAAACCACATTCCAGGCCAAACTTCAGAGCAGTATAACAGCAAGACACTTTCAATATGCTGAACAATTTAAACAAGTTAACAATACAAATAGTTAGAGACCATCAAAACTATTAGTCTATGGTCGTCTGAGCAACTCTCACGCTATTATACGACCAAATGGGAAGCCAGTCAAACACTATTAGAATAATATCGTCTATCTAACGCCCGAATGCCGCATTTCCTTCCGTAATGCACACGCAATGATTAAAGAGTATACTTCAGACTTCCACAGACTCTTATCGCCAATTAAACAAGAGACCATCTCACTTATTTGGGACAATGAAACAAGACGATTCCATCTGTTCTTGAGACTAAAAACGAGAAGATTCCATCAATTAACTCTTTAACAAGAAGAGTCCATCTTTAACTTGCTAATAAAAACGAGAAGATACCATCTATTTCTCTTTCAAGAAGATACCATCTATCTTGAGAATATACAAACGAGAAGAGTCCATCTATTTTACTCGTCAAACACAATATAATATATAAATACCGGCTCAAAAGCACATTAATATATATCCGGCTTGTAAAACACACACATTATAATCATGCAGTTAATTAATGAACAAAGAAAAAGAATAGAGACTTACCCTTGCTTGGTCTAAAACAACGCCACGTGGTGTGATTTAAATTTAGATATTTAAGATTAAATTAACAGCTGTTCTCAGGATGTCCTGCTCGCCACAAAACACACAAATCTAAAATGGTTCTAAATAAGCTATTGAAGAATTTGATATAACTGGCTTCTTCTCACCATTTGTATCTGGGCCCTGTGTGTCATGTGGGTCGTAGTATCTCCGTTGAAACTAGCCGGTTTCTCTCCCAGATTGCTATCACATCGGGTGTCGCCAGTTGTTGATAAATCGTGATCTTCTCGCTCCCAGGAAAGAAACTTAAAATAATGAGACTAATGGAGTCTCTGAAAAGGTTCAAATGGGTACTTTCATTAAGTAACGTGGTTAACCTGTTCCACTCTGAGCCTGTTTTTCAGGTCTCAGGCTCGAAAATGACATTCCCAGAACAAATGACCATATCTTCCCTTCTAAAAGGGTTAAATTAATAATCTTTGTTCTCAAAGTAATGATAAACCTGTGCGTTGGATGTAGAAGTGTCAGAATCAATATAAATGTTTTTTATTTTAAAGAAAATTCAGATTTTACATAGTAAAAAACTGTAAATTATAGTGTCCGTCCAAAAACTATTTTTTACAGATAGTGAAAACTACCCTTGGATGATGGGTTAGTAGACTAAAAGCTTTAGGAATCCAAAGTACAACATATAATAAGTACCCTGTATCAAGATTGATGCAAAACAAGTGAAATTTGACCTTTTTAGAGAGATTTAGCCAAAAACCCCCACTTCTGGGGTCATTTGGGTGGATTTGACCTATCTCTGGCCCCCCTTGGTCGATTTGGTTGGTTGACATACCCTTGTGACCGTTAGAGCCAATATAATTGAAGAGGGAGGCACACACCCACACACGTTGTAAAGAAAAAATGTGGGCGCTTCGCGTGTGCAAAACGAAAGCAAAGTGGAGGAATGTCTCCTTCTGGAGTTTGGAAACTAAAACGCAGTTGTATTGCTTATGGATTATCAGAAATCATTTCAAAGAAGGCACAGACACATAGGATGAACCTATGGATTAACTGCAGCATCGTTTTTTTATCGTTTTAATGCCATTGAAGACCACTTTTGACCAAGGTAAGCCATATTTACGTTTTTTAGCTACTTAGCTCCACATGTGATGATGTACGCTTTCGTTTATAGCGTCGCGAATGTTTATCACTGAGTGTTGAGGTTATTTACACAGATTCAGTGTCTCCAGGAGTGGTTGGCTGTGCATCTAGGATAAGTAATAAGGGAGTTATGAGTGAGTTTAAGTGCCTTTGTAGGTTCCGTTTTTTCGATCGAGGCTAATTCAGAGGCTGAGTGCTAGCATTGTGGGGTTTTTTTGAAAAAAAAAATTAAAAAGATCAGTTAGCTGAGTTTCTTCCCGTTACATGGATATAACACATTCATAGTTTTATTCAATATTAAGATTCCTTAGACGTTGTTTCCTGCAAATGACGCGTTTATCCGCCCGGTACCGGGGGGATGGTGTGAAACAGGTTAAAGAACAAGCATAGGTAAGGAAGAGACAAAGCCGGTGATGTCTCCAGGGAGCTGCAGCGTAGGAAAAGAGACCGGGTTGTCCTCTCTCATCTCTTTTATCCTCTTCTCGTTCTCTCCCGCTGTGCAGATAGTGGGACCTCCCTTCTCATCTGCTGGTTCGACATCGTGAGAGAACCGATGATCTCGACATTCTGTATTCCCTGCCTACTTCCTTAAGCCTTTTCTCCTCCTTATCTCTGTCATGACTTTCTATTTAATACCTTATAAACAGCTGTAATAGTTAGTTTAGAAGTCCTAGAAACACCTCTACGGCACAGTTCTCATGTACGGTAACTCCCTCTGACGTCATAGCTACTCACGTATGTGTAAACACTCTACGATCAACTGTACCTTCATTTAATATTCAACAGTAATAATATCTCAACGTCTATAGATGTAGTGTTAAAGTCCGTACGTTTTGGTGTGCTACACTCCATGTCATTTTCATTTTATTCAGAAAACACATTGTTAGCTACATTCTACATACTGTCCGGATATGAAGGATT